ATGCTCCTTCAACATGGCTGTTGAAGAATTATTGGCAGGCAGGCAGGCAGGCAGGGAGAAACCTCAGTTATTCCACATTCCCTGAAACCCTTCGTGTATATATATTTTTTCTCCATCTTTGGTGGTTTTAATCATCAGCAAATAGAACATAATAAAAAAGGACCAACTTCTTTTTTTTTTTTTCAAAAGTTCATTGGCTGTCCTGTCAATACGCCTTGAGTAAGAAAGATAAGAGATTTAAATTAGTTTGTCTTCCTTAAGCACAGCAAGCCACAAGCCTGTAAACAGGCAGGCCCTGTCAGCTGCTTCTGTTTTGAAGAAATACATCTTATTAACTTCTGATTGAGCAAAAGCAACCACAAGCCATTTACCAACACGTCTTTGCTCGGGTCAATAGAAGCATCAAAAGCCATTCCTCTGCGGGCCACCCACTTATTTCCTTTGCGGCCAACTACAGAAAGATCCCCAAATCTCTATAAATTGAGCTCCACATCTCTTTGACTTGAAAATCCTCTCTGCTATTTAAAATTTTTAATCTATTTTGCCCACCTGCCACTGCATGAATAAGGATTCCTTCCTTCCATCCCTGTTTCCATTCCCACAGCCGCGTAGATAAAAGAATATCATTATTACTGGAGCAAACATCCAGAATAACACAGTATTTAAAGGAAATTGCCATGGGTTGATAAACAACAGAAAACAGGAGGGGGCAGAGAGATTGGATTTGGTACTTAATTTAAATTTCAAATCAGCTTTGCAAAGGAAGCTCACTGAGAGGCAGTATCTCATTAGCCCAACTGTCAGGTGGGTTGGAGTTTATCTCGATAAAGCACAGATTGATTTAGCAACATAGATGAAGTGCAAGACTGCTTCTTTCTCAGCTGTTGAGATTCAGTTCATTTTTCGGGTTCTAAAGCCAGCTGTCTTCTGAAGCCACAACTTCACTCTGTGGAAAACTGGTAGGATTTATTACTCAAGGGATGCATGTGCCATGAATAGGATAACTCATATGTTGCTTGATTGAAGGGGTACAATTTTTTAAATATGGGGCACTCAGCCTGCGAGTTCCTGGCCTTCACTTTATCTAACTGATGCCGAGAAAATGAAACAAGAAGGTAATCCCCTGTCCTCTGGAATGAGTTACCCACCGAGCTTCAGACGGCGCCTGATCTCCGCTCCGTTTCAACAAATGGGTTGACCTTGATCCTTGGATTTTTCTTATTTTGATTGTCATTGTTTTAACTGGGTTTTAATCATTTTGATCTTTTATTATTGTATGTTTTTAACTTGTGTTCGCCGCCCTGAGTCCTTAGGGAGAAGGGCGGCATATAAATTTTTGGTAAATAAATAAATAAATCCCCCATTGCATGAATCCATGTACACCAACTGGCAGTCAGAAGGCATGACAAAAAAATCTTTAATTTCACAACATCTAGACCAGGGGTCAGCAACCTGTGGCTCTGGAGCCATATGTGGCTCTTTTATTCCTCTGCTGCGGCTCCCTATCACTAGTCGGCACCACAATTTTGAGAGGAGTTTCCAGTTATGGGGAGGAAAAGCACAGCGCACCAGGAAGAGACTCTATGGCAAGGTGGGGTGGGTTCCAGTCAGTTCCACAATTGATAGGGCTTTCAGTTAGGAGAGGTACAGGAAAAAGGACGCCACGCTAGGAGGAGACTCTATGGTAGGGGAACCAGACTTCCAGTCGGCTCCAGAATTAAACAGGGGGCTTCCGGTTAGGACCTTTGTGGCTCGTTTAAGGTTGCCGACCCCTGATCTAGATAGATTTAACCATAGTTTCAATTGGGAAAATGTGACAATCCTAGCCCAGGCCAAGCCCAAAAATGCCAGGGAATTTCTAGAAGCCTGGCACTCTGACAAATCAGTCGTCAAGAGACACATAGACATTAACAACATCTATAGACTATGCAAAAGACACACTCAACCAGCCCAAAAGAGAACAAAAGATTCCAGCACCTCTCCACTAGTAATCAACAAGCATAGATCAACTCCAAGGTTAACTTCAGGCCAACAATGAAGTAAACAACACCCCAATCAAAAACTGCCAAAGAGCCATCAGTAAACAGGCCAACCAAAGAATCTCTAAATCCACCCACACCCACATAGACAGGAAAGACACCAGAAGATAAACTGATAGCAAACAAAACTCCTTACTTAGTTTGGGTAAGGAAACGTCTGCAAGAAAGCAAGCAAGCTCAGAGAGCACCAAGGACCCCCCATTACATAAATGTTTATCCGGAGCAGTAACATCAAGAACAGTTTGGGTTACAGCGGGCTGAGATTTCTGATCAAGGATACCATGCAGATGGCTTTTGTTGCCCAGTTGCTCTGACCATTTTGATTTTACTGGTGCCCCTGGTTTTAATGCTTTATTTTGGTTGCTGGATGGGCTCATGTTTATACATTTCATCCTCCGTTTAATCTTGCCTGATTGCAGATTCTTGGCCAGTTACTACTTCCCCTCTATTTTATTTTCCTTATGAGGAAAGTTACTGATGAATACTTTCTTCATGGCTTCCTAAAAAAACATAAATAAAAGTTTCTACCTAGGATGGCAGTGGCCCACAATCTCCAAAATGGCATCCTGTTATGCAACACAATAAGATAATGTATTAAAGGAGTCCCTGCGAATTTTATTCTGCTAGTCATTGCCGATTATAGGGGATGATGCTAACTTCATTTTAAGGGCCAAGGAGCCAGCCTTGTGAAAAGACGTTTCAATGGTCATATGGCCAGTATGACATCATAGATCACTGTTGCCTTCCCACCAAAATGGTATCTATTTATCTGTTTGCATTTGCATGCTTTCAAACTGCTAGGTTGGCAGGAGCTAGAGCAAGGATGGGAACTCACCCTGTTGCATGATGCTCAAGTCTCAAAGCTGGGCTTTCCAGCTGACAAGTCCAATGTCTTAACTGCTGAGCCATCACTGCCATCCAAGATAATGTATTGACTGTTTTAAAAAATCTCTTTCCTGGTATAGTTATAAAACCTACTTTGGTTCACATCCTCAGGTAAGATTCACACATTCAGGAATGCTTATGGAATGCTTCAACCTCTACCTCACACTTTGGATAGCTTGGCAAAAGCGGAGCAGCCAAGTGAACAAGCAAAGCTGCAATAATTGGTATTATAATACCTGAAGTTCCTTATTAGCATCCTTCTTTATGGCAGGATCACACGTTGGGCTGAAAACAAAGGCCTCTTCCAGCTTTAAAGGCATTCATTTTGATATGTAGAGACAGTTTCAGCTGCGTGTGAAGACAGCTTTCATTCAGCCTTTGGAAGTTGTCTGCCCATTTGCACATCAGACATACTGTGTGTTTGTCTTGTCATTTTGGGCAAGGCTTCAAATAGGTGTTTTGTTTCAATGACGCTTTGAAATTCCTCTTTGAAGTAAGATAGCCTTTTCCTTCTAAAGAGTTGCATTGCTTAACTCTGCATCCATTCTTGTCATCCCTGTGAAGAAGTCCAGATAGGAAACACAGCCAGAAGAGTTAATTTTACTTTTTTCTAAGGTTATATTAATAAAATATTGTGCCATCTGAATGTACATTTCTTCTCTAGTCTCTTTGCAGACCAAGAAACAAGGGAGGCTCCCTTCTTAGATGCTTGTCTTGCCCAAATTCCTTCTACAAGCTAGGTTGCCAGTTATCTGACCATTTCCCTGGCTCCTGAGGTCATTCCCACATACCATTACAGATAGTCCTCAACTTACGACCACAATTGAGCCCAACATTTCTGTTGCTATGCGAGACAGTTGTTAAGTGAGTTTTGCCCCGTTTTATGACCTTTCCTATCACAGTTGTTAAGTGAATCACTGCAGTTGTAGTAGCAATAACAATAGACTTATAGCAATAACACACTTATACAGTGCTTTACAGCCCTCTCTGAGCAGTTTACAGAGTCAGCATATTGCCCCCCAACAATCTGGGTCCTCAGAAGGATGAAAGGTTCAACCTTGAGCTGCTCAGAATTGAACTCCTGGAGTGAACAGTGAAGTTAGCCCTGCAGTACTGCATTTTAACCACTGCGCCACCACAGTTAATCAGTGAATCAGCTTCCCCATTGATTTTCCTTGTCAGAAGGTTGGAAACAGGGATCACCTGACTGTAGGACACTGCAACTGTCATAAATATGAGAGTTGCCAGGCATCTGAATTTTGATCACAAGACTATGAGGATGCTGCAGCGGTAGTAAGAAGGGGTGGTATTCACTTACCTTCCCTACTGGTTCACAAATGCGCGTGCATGCGCAGAGCATCAGAAACGTGAAAAAATGGGATGTTATGATGTTTGTGCGGGTGGGCGGAGCATCCCGCAGTCGGTCCTACCGGTTCACCTGATTTGGATAGAACTGGCTGAATATCACCACTGGAGGTAAGTATGAAAAGTGGCCATAAATCATTTTTTCCCAGTGCCATTGTAACTTGAAACTGTCACTAAACAAACTTGTAAATTGAGGACTACTTGTATACTTCTTCACTCTGTCCTGAAATCTATTGTGGCTTTGGGAAGGGCCAGCAGAGACTCTATAAATGATGTCCAGGGGCTCGGTGAACTGACTCCCGTTATTGTGGCACCTCAAATAACATGGCCTCCCTAGTATGAAGTGCCTTCTGGAGGTGAAATATGGCTGTTTGTCATATATCTTGTCTGCGCATCACAGAGTAATCGGGATGTTTTGCATTGAGCATAGGAGTGTCTGCAAGATGGCAGTGGGGTTGTCAAAAAAGACAAGATGACAGCCACAAGAGTGCAATTAAAGCCTTGCTTTTTTTTTAAATTCACACACCCCTTAACTGATCCCAGAGAGGCAGAAAAGCCACCAGTGTGTCAGCGCTTCCCCTCTATATCCATCCCAAATGTAAAAAGCCTTTATCGACCTAAAACATACATTTTGTGTTAAGTCCACAGAATACTGCAAAACAAATAAACAGAGCAAAATTTGACTGGAGCTACATTTAGAAGGGATTTGCCCTCTAGGCTGAACGGTACCTTATAAGCTATAATTAAATTTAAATCGGACGCCTAACATTGAGGGGCTTCTTCAGCATCGAATCGAGGCTGCTTTTCAACAAAGTTGCCCTTAACCAAATGCATAATAATCGGCATTCAGCTGCTGGGTTTTTCAACAGCGCACTGCTAAATCTTTTTTATCAGGCATCAGCTCACTTGAGCTTCCCGTATACAGCTGCAACATTCCCATGGAAACAGCTGTGCTGTCACCTCCACTTTCCCACCTAAGCAGTTGTGTTCTGGACTGGTTGCCACTGTAAGATTAAGCTGCAAGAGAAGTCTCTTTGGCACAACTGTTGCTGCGGCATTTGATTTTCAACATTCAAAGCCAGAGTGGCCAGTGGCAAAACTCTTTCTCCTGCAATTTTTAGAGGGCTAACAAGTTTCATCACCTTTGGGGCAGAGAACTCTAAATATGTATCCAAGAGAAGAATGATGAAGGACAGAGGTGGGTATCTGGCTGGCCAGAAGGCCCATACAGCTCATTGAAGCGTATATGAGGCCTAATCAAGCATGCTTTATTTTATTTGAGGGCTAAAAGTTAACAATTCCAACCCATGGACTTGGAGAAAAGTCAAAGGGTCGCTTTTGTTGGAGAAATCATATTACTGGAGGCAGAGTTGGACTTCTCCTGTGGCAATCCTAACTTAGGCAGATATTCATTTATGTGGGAAGAATTTATAAATTGACAATATATAACTCTTAGAAATATTGTATAGGAAATCATATGTTAACTACTCAGGTCTCCAATAAAGTTACTGATTTAACAGCCTCCAAAATTCTTTAGAGTTACAACAAACATATGAATTAATTAAATTAATTAATTAATTTCAAATACACACAAGCAAACCCACAAAACTCAATTGTACAATGTAAACATAATTATAACGCTCACAGTTCAAACCAGGAGACCCAACCACATCACTTGTTTTAATGAACCCCTTCCCCAGGTCAACAAATACACACATCCATGCCCCTCAAATGTCATTCTAGAACCCACGCACACACACACACACACACACACACACACACACACACACACACACAGCCACACCTCTCAAAATCAACACCAAGGTCAAGTTCCCTATAAAACAACCTTTTCGTACCTCATTTTCTCTGCAGCTACTCCCATAGGCAAACCTCTTTGGATTTTGGAATAAATAAATTTCATTTCCTGTCAGCTGTCTGGATTTCATTTTGAGTTATTCTTGAACAACCCCAGTTTGAGTTGGAACCCCAAATTATTCTCCTGACATTTATTTAATGTATATGTTGCCCATCTCACTCTGCAGTGCGACTCTGGGTGACTTACAATTAAAATCTGAAATTTATAAAAAAAATATTCAAAATTCAGGTAGTCCTCGACTTACTACCATGCCACAATTAAGCCCAAAATTTCGGTTGTTAAGTGAGACATTTGTTAAGTGAGTTTTGCCCCATTTTACCACCTTTTTTACCTCAGTTCTTAAGTGAATCACTGCAGTTGATAAGTTAGTAACCTGGTTGTTAAGTGAACCTGGCTTCCCCATTGATTTTGCTTGACAAAAGGTGATCACTTGACCTTGGGACACCGCAACGGCCATAAGTATGAACCAGTTGTCAAGCATCTCAATTTTGATCACATGATCATGGGGATGTTGGAAATGTAACTGTGAAAAATGGTCATAATCACTTTTTTCAGTGCCATTGTAAACTTTGAACCGTCACTAAGCGAACTGTTGTAAATCAAGGACTACCTGTATTCAAAACATCAGATTCAAAGGCAAGAAGCAAAAGGCAAGATCACTACAGTGGTAGCATCTTCTCTATTAGCAACCTCCAATATAGAGCACCCCCATCAGGCCCCCAGGCCAACCAATAAATATGAACACAATCTAAATCTAAATGTTGTTACAATCAGGTGAATATTCAAACGGATTTCATGCATAGAATAGTAAACTCTGTTTGTAATCCTCTGCCGATCATCTAGAAATCATCAAGCCTTAGCAAAAGAATCAGACTCGCTATTGAGTAAACATATTTAGAAAAATGTGGCCAAGGGCTAATTAATTTGCAATTTTCATAGATGAGGGAAAATACTAATTGGCAGGGCTGGAATGAATGAGAAACAATGGAGGCTCTTACGCTTCGTTTTGTGCTTCTGGAGTAAAAAAACACCCCAAAGTAAAAGAAGCGCTTTGAGTTATGAATTTAATTTTATAGTAATCAGAGCCACTGGGAATTAAATGTCACAGAAGCTTTCGTGAGTGTGTAAATGCATATGACTTGTCTCTCTGTCTCTCTCTCCCTCTCTCTCTCTCCCTCCCTCCCTCCCTCTTCTTTTCTCTCCCTTGCAGACATCAATACAAAGATGCCAAAAAAAAAAAAATAATAACACTGAAGAACCAAGTGTAAGAATCAATAAAATATAGTGTTTTATTTATTCATTATATCAGAGATCCACCTTTCACTTAGATCAAAGTGATGCTTTATACATATTATTCTCCCTATTCCTACTTTTTCCCCACAACAACCCAGTGAGCAGGCTGAGCAGAGAGAAAATAAGAGAGAAAGAGCCTTGGTAGGACAGTGGTCTAGGGCACCCTGTTATTAAGCTGGTTATTAAGACCAGCTGCCTGCAATTACTGCAGGTTCGAATCTCGCCAAGGCTCAAGGTTGACTCAGCCTTCCATCCTTTCTAAGGTAGGTAAATTGAGGACCCAGTTGTGGGGGCAATAAGCTGACTTTGTATAAATATACAAAAGGATGAAGGCTATTGCTGAGCACATTGTAAGCCACCCTGAGTCTCCGGAGAAGGGTGGCATATAAAATCAAATTAAAAAAAAAAATGATTGGCCCGACGTCACCCAGGAAAATTCTGGGCTTGAGAGGAGTCTAGAAGGGACTCTCTAACACCATTCCAGAACCTTCCCCTCTACTCCACATGGGTTCTCTGTAACAATGATACATCATATATGACAGTGACTCATCATCTATCACATGGGTGTCAAACTCACTGTGTCACATTGCCATCACGTGATGTTTCACAATGTTTTTATTTATTTATTTATTTATTATTTCAATTTGTATACCGCCCTTCTCCTAGTGGACTCAGGGCGGTGAACAGCCAGAACTAAAACACATGCCAATACAAAATTTAAAATTATTAAAAGAATTACATAACTGGCCCAATTTAAAACAATTCAATTAAAACCCAATGACAATTTAAAAACTAAAAAACTAAAAAAGACTAAAAAAGGGGAGGGGTTCACGCCAGCCCTGCTTGATGGAAAAGAAAAGTTTTCAGGGCACGGCGAAAGACCCGGAGATCCGATAGCCTTCGTATCTCCGGGGGCAAATCATTCCAGAGGGCAGGAGCTGCCACAGAGAAGGCCCTCCCCCTGGGGGTCGCCAGCTGACATTGCCTGGCTGACGGCACCCTGAGGAGTCCCTCTCTGTGGGCGCGTACTGGTCGGTGGGAGGCTATCGGTGGCAGAAGGCGGTCCTGCAAATACCCAGGTCCTATGCCATGGAGCGCTTTAAAGGTGGTAACCAACACCTTGAAGCGCACCCGGAAGACAACTGGAAGCCAATACAGCTCACGCAGGAGAGGTGTCACATGGGAGCGCCCCTCGCTCCCATAATCCCCCGCGCAGCCGCATTCTGCACCAGTTGGAGCCTCCGGGTGCTCCTCAAGGAGAGCCCCATGTAGAGAGCATTGCAGTAGTCCAGGCGGGAAGTGACGAGTGCCTGAGTGACTGTGCGTAAGGAGTCCCGATCCCCTTCATGGAACTGGGGTGGACGTGGCCTGTGAGTGACACATCCAACCTGCGGGCTACCAGTTTGATACTCCTGATCTATGACAATGCATGGCCATATTTATTTCCAGTCTGAATTACATGATTCTGAATTTGGATTTGGAATTTGGAGGAAAAAATTGATAGAAATGGAAGGAGTTAGTTACTGCCACATTATTATTATTATTATTATTATTATTATTATTATTATTATTATTATTATTGACTCTATTTTATTATTTTTTTTCATAGTAATGTGTTATACACAAAGTAGTTTTGCAGAAGTGATTTCTTGTGGGACCACCTGTTCCTAATGGTTTCTGCCCTTTCTGCTGTCAGAGAGGGTGTAGTCTGGGTCCCCTTAGTGAAGCAGCATCTTCTGAGGTGCCTTTGGAAATGGACCTTTTTTGTACTGATGCCCACTTTATAGAATAGCCTCTCCCCAGATATACGATGGCTTCAACCTTGTTGGCTTTTAGGAAAATCAAGAAGACTCAGCTTTTCCGTCAGGCACTGAGGCCAGAATCTTGATAGAGCTGGCACCAGGTCGTTGGTAGATGGATGTCAGTTTTTATTGGTACCTCAAAGCAATTTTATTATTTGAAATATTTAATTTTAAAGTATTATTTTTTTATTTTTTTATGCCCCAGAGTTCCTCTCGGCAGATGTCTGGCTGTATTATTAATTGATTATAGCAATAGCAAAAGCACTTAGACTTATATATCACTTCACAGTGCTTTACAGCCCTCTCTAAGCAGTTTATGGAGTCAGCATATTGCTCCCAACAATCTGGGTCCTCATTTTACCAACCTTGGAAGGCTGGAAGGCTGGCAGTGAACAGTGAGTTAGCCCGCAGTACTGAATTCTAACCACTGAGCCACCATGGCTCTTCTGTGCCATCAAGTCATTTTTTTACTCCTAGCAACCACATAGAGAGATTTTCTCTATGATGATCTGTCCTTAACTTGGTCTGTCAAGACTTCCAAAAGTGGACCCATCGCAGGGGTGGGTTCTAAATTTTTTTACTACCGGTTCTGTGGGCGTGACTTATTTTGTGAGTGTGGCTTGGAGGTCATGTGACTAGGTGGGCGTGGCTAGCTGGTCAGAGTCATTTCTGGAAGGTCCTCGCACTTACGCCAGTCCTCACACTTACGACCCGACTCATTTGTTTGCTTTTAACACTGATCAGCTGTAGGACGGCCCTTTGAAGCCCCGCGGCAAGAGTTTAAACAGTTTTTTTCCCTCTAGTCATCAGCTGGGACTCAGGAGGCAGCAATAGATTGGGAGTAGGACCAAATGCATAATAAAGAAGAGCCTTGGTAGGACAGGGGTTTAAGGCACCCTGTTATTAAGCTGGTTATTAAGACCAGCTGCCTGCAATTACTGCAGGGTTCGAATCTCACCAAGGCTCAAGGTTGACTCAGCCTTCCATCCTTTCTAAGGTAGGTGAAATGAGGACCCAGTTTGTGGGGGCAATAAGATGACTTTGTATAAAATATACAAAAAGGATGAAGGCTATTGCTGAGCACATTGTAAGCCGCCCTGAGTCTTCGGAGAAGGGCGGCATATAAATCAAATTAAAAAAAAAAAAAAGGTAAGAATAACGTGCGAGGGTGGGGGGCTGGGAGGGCAGGGGGGAGAACCGGTTCGGTGACGTCATATCGTCACCGCTACCGGCTCGGCCAAACCGGACCAAACCGGCAGGAACCCACCACTGACCCATCGCCACCATAGCTGAGTCTCACTACTTACTGCTGGTCATCTCTGCTCTTTCCTTCCACATTTCCCAGCACTAAATTCTTTTCCACAGAGCTAGGCCTTCACAGAATGTCTCTGAAGTAGGATAAATAAATCAAGCGAGAGCTTAGAAGAATATCTTCCCCTCCCCCCCCTCTCTCCTTCCTCCTTCCCTCCCTCCTTCCCTCCCTTCCTCCTTCCTTCCTTCCTCCCTCCCTCCCTCCCTCCTTCCCTCCTTCCTTCCTTCCTAGAGCTCAGGATATTTTACACAGGAAATAAAAAGTTGGAGAAAAGCAGGCTTGTAATGAGCTTGCACCTTGTTACAGATTATAAATTCAAATGTGGCTATGTGAGCTACAAAACTCCCTTTCCTCACTCTCCTGTTCAAAGCAGATGTTCGCATTAGTCATGTAGTCAATCTTCTCCAAAGTCGTGTCATGTCCCTGTGATATTCCCTGCATTTATAATGGCAATTTCTAGGCAGGCTGAACATAGATAAGAATTGGAGGGTGTCAAACGTTTCTATTGTGCTGAAGAAAAATAAAAACATAAAGAATGGTTGATACTTAAAAGAGGCAAAGGTTTTTGTTAGCAAACCAAGAAAATAATTTGAAGCAAGATTGGTTGCTTAGGTTACTAAAATGTAAAAAGACAAAACCTCCACCTTAAATGTTTCAGATATGAGTTTACAATAGTAATGTCCTTGATAATTTGATTCAGTTCTGGTAAGAATTGAAGGAAGGTGAAAAATGATTTAAAGAGTAAAAATAAATGCAAAATGCCTCCTGTTCCCAAAACAAAAAAAAAATTCTGACATTTTGCAAAACAAAACTACCGAGAATAGGAATTTCAAAGAAATGCTTAAAAAATTACCCCCTCCATCTGGGGGAAAAAAATACTCTGTTGATGAGAAGTCTACCCTCTGTAAAGTCAGGCACAAAACTACTCTAATCCAAAAAGTGAGATTTGCGGCAAAAAAGACAGAATATTCTTTATTGGCCAAGTGTCATTGGACACACAAGGAATTTGTCTCCGGTGCATAAGCTCTCAGTATACATACAAACAACAAAATGATAAATCATAAATCATAAGGTACAATTATAAATCATAAGATACAAACAACAAAGTGATAAATCATAAGATACCAATAGGAGAAGGTAATAGGGAAGATGAAAAAGATAATAAAAACACAGCCCTACTACATGGCTAAATATCCTTAGGCATAGATAGTGCTGTGGGAATTCGGTACTTAGCAGAGTGATGACGTGGGGGAAAACTGTCTTTATGTTTAATTGCTTCAGTATGCAATACTCTATAGCAGTGTCCTGATGGGAGGAGTTGAGACAGTTTATGTACAGAATGTGAGGGATCTAGATATTTTAAGAGCCCACTATCTGGCTCGTGCGATATACAGGTCCTCAATGGAAGGCAGGCTGGTTGCAATTGTTTTTTCTGCCATCCTAACTATCCATTGAAGTCTGTACCTGCCCTGTTAGTTGCTGTGCCAATGTTTGCCCATGATTAAGGAGCAAAAGAGGATGCCGTATAGGAAGATGTCATAAAATGGTAGCCACAACTGCATGAGCGATGCCTTTTAAAAGGGCTGAATCTTAGTTATGTCATTGCAGCTACCAACTGACTTTTTTGAACCCCACCCCACCCTCAAGTAATCCCTGAATTCGGATGATACTAAGAGTAGTAGTTTGTAGGAAACACATTTTGAAAGATGAACGCAGCAGAGAACTGCCTTGATTCAGAACAACCAAAGCCTTATGCAAATAAGACAACATTCCATTCCTAAGGATTTATTTTTCCCATTTGGTACAATTCACCAAGCTGTCCTGCAGTATTATGCAAAGCACATGCATGTCAGAAGGTTTCCTGAGATTTGCCAATAAAATGGAATCAGAACTTAG